TATATGTTATGTATATGTTCTGTATATTTCAGATCGTGTCTTTTTTTGTAGATTTTTTTTCCGATCTATAGAGTATATTTGTTGTATATTTTCTGTATATATGTTGTATATTAATCCGAACCTATTTTTGTTTTGTATACATCACATAACACGGATGTCTTATTTTACACGCTGCGCCTCAAATTCAAAAGTATTATCTTCTCTATTTCCATTGAACCACCTTCCTTATTATCGGGATTTATTTCCTTTTCCATGTTGTTTTTTTTTTATCTTCACGTGAAAAGCGGTTTCATAATAACTGATAGGTTACATCTGTTCAGATTTTGTAACTGCATCTGGCATATCTGCAATTATTTCATCCCTATTTTATAGGAATGCAATACAATAACTTTCTATGGTATTTTTATAAATACTTTATTTGCGCTAAGTATATATAAAATTTTGCCTAGGCTTTTTGTCATTCTCTCTTTTAGCCCAATGTAATTAAATTCTGGCCCAATTCACTTGTATTAATTTTGGCCCATGATTATTCTTCGCCCATCATGAAGTCATCGTCTTCTTCGCACAACGAGACCGAGTCTCACTTATCTGCAAGTTAACGTTTGTTCCGATTTCGTGGCGAATTCAAACGCACGTTCTCCTCCCTTTTCTCTCTCTCTCGCATATATCACCTGAGCAAAGGATTTTCTTCAGTAAAATAATTCTCTTCACCTTATCAGATAAGAAGCTATCGGCTATATAGAAAAAAAAAAAAGAAAAAAAATTCGTACCTGCAACTTCCGGCAAGACCTCCACCACCCACCGGCGTTACTGCCCTCGCGTCGTACCAGCAGCTTCCGTCGACCAAAGAAGCAGCAATCGGACCTTCAGATCAGCAAGCAACCGTTGTCCGTTGCAGAGTTGTCGCCGTCCACCATTGTTTCCGGTTGTCACCTCCGGTCAGCCCCGCTCGACGTATTTCAGCGTTCTCGTTTTTCATCGACGACCTCACTGCAGAGCAAGTCGAGCGTCCGAGAACCAGCAGCTTTCAGACCGTGTTCGAAGGTTACGAACTCCAGAGCCGTCCGTTCCGACCCGTTTTCTGATAATTCATTTTCCCGAAGACGGGTAACCTTTTCGAAACCTCCTCGTAAATTGCTATTCAAAATGATATCGTTCGATTATTGTTTGTACGCGTTGAATCGTTTCTTTGGTTTTCGAATTCGGTTTATTTGTCTATTCGTATATTCTTTGTTTATTTCGTGCGTTCGTGGACTTTTTGGGGATAATTGGAACTCTCGATTTCATAAAGTCGAATATCGTTGGTGTATGAAATGTGCTATGTTTCGGAGTCTCGTTTTATTGTTTTGGGCCTTGTTGTCGTCGTTGTGTCATTCGTTAGGTTTTGAACTACTTATTGTCGTT